ACAAATATCTATATCTATATCTATATCTATATCTATATCTATATCTATATCTATATCTATATCTATATCTATATCTATCTATCTATGACTAACTACTTCCCATTAAAAGTACATCTTCCTAAGAGCCAGGTTGCCTCTGGCAGGAGAGAAGGTACACAAGTGTGTGAATTTCCTCTTTTTGTGTTTCTGATGTTATGTGAGAAATGGGAACACTTCTTTTTGGGGAAGGCAATGTGAGAGAGAAATGGGGTCTCTGGAACTAGCCCTTGTAGTCTATAATTAATCCAGCCTTTGCTGATGCCCTTAGTGACAGGTTCCTCTGTCTAACTCATCCTGCAGACCTTTATGGACTAAACCTCACTGATGCTCTTTACAGCTTCCCAAACATAATAAAACTACAGCAAAATTTGAATAAACGCATCTTGCTTAATAAATCTGTCTCTTTGGCTCCTCACCCTTAACAATCACCCAAGTTCAATTTACTGCTTGAAAGCAATGCCTGCACCATTTGCAGAGACCACTGTCGCATTTGCAAGGGCAATTAGAAAGCCATTGCTAACAAATACTTGCATTTAATAAGTATGCTAATTGATATTGACTAACTCGAGGCAAGTACTTTGTCAAGTGCCGAAGAAATTGCTTTGAAACAACGTGAAAAATAGGAAGCTGGGTGGCTTGATGCTTAGTTTAGACCAGAGAGCTAGGAGTGTGGTGGATATATGGACTTCTAATTGAAGCCAAGAGTTTACATCACTCAAGCAAGGAAATCAAGTTCATGTCAAGTCATGTTAGGGCTGCCAAAAGAACCTACATTTGTTCCAAAACAGTTTGGCACTACTTTTTCAGAGTTTCTTCTTCCATTGTTGCCAGACTTTTCTCTACATAAGACCATGCACGCCTACAGAGCCACTGGCCTGCCAATGCCATATAGCAGATTGACAGAATAACAACCTCTCAGTGTTTCAGGAAATTAAACTGCATGGGATCAGTGCGATTAGTTAGCAGCTGACAGCTGAGTCTCTGCTGCTTTCCAGGAGAGGGTGGTGAAGTGGCAGGGAGTCCCAGATTGGCTCTGCTGGTGCATTTGCAGCATGCTGACCTCCTCACCCCTCTCTCAGGTCAAGTGAGCACCACTGCCCCACTTCTGCATCCTCCGATTCCCACTTCCTCACCTGGGCCTGCATCTTCGTCCTCCAGATCCCTCCTCCCCTCCTCACTTGGTCCAGCAAACTCACCGCCCAACAACCCAGCAGCTTGCCACACTGTAGTTCGCAACTCCACCTGCCTATGGTCAGATGGACTGAAGCGTGACAACATCCTTACAATGTTATATATTAGAGAGAAAAGCTGTTGTCACAATAGCTATAGAATAGGATATTGGCACTTCATATTGGATTGATTGGAAACTATTGCAACATGAGCACTTAGTCCAACAGGACTGTATAGTTTTTTCATCTTAGTCAAAGAAACACAGCTGGGGCAATTATGTAGGGGGGGTTCTTTGATAGCGCCCTACCAAGATGTGGCATGATGCAAACCAAAGATACCACAACAGAATGAATTTTTATCAAGCTACCCAACTGAACTGTTGGTTTCTTCCCTCCCTCCCCCGAGACATTTCTATTTTAAATGTTAGTCTTAAATACAGTATGAGATAGATGGTTTTTAGTTTCCCATTACTTCTCAAAGCACAATAGATTGATGTGAAAGCTTCATTTATCAGGCGTGTAAGCATGCCGCTACATGCTTACAGTGAACCAATATGATTCCTTCCACTCATGTACAGAACTATTATTTACAGTGTATATATAGGCTGGACAAGGTTAAAGAAAGTTCTCTCCTGCTTCAGACAAACCTTTCTATGCTTGTTAAAGATGGAGAGAGGCCAAGGATGGGGGACTTATGCCCATCACAAGTTCCACTGGGAGCGTTATAGGGGTGGGATAGTTCCACCTGCAAGTGGCTGGCTGGTTCTCATACACGGAACAAAAAACAACAACCATGGGTCTGGACAGTACCATTTTAGATTGCAGGTGGGGACTCGTGTGACTAAATGTGCCTTCAAATGATTCACCCCCACCGCGTTGCCACACACATAGAAAACCGGCATATCAAGGAGGAGGCTTTCAAGCAAGCTTTTAGTAAAGATTTTAAGGATCAGTTCCACTTTATTACACATTAGTAATTTAGAACAACTTGTCTTAGAGCCACAATTTACAAAAAGTGTAGGCAAACTGGACTGGGTTCTGAAGAGAGTAACAAAATGGTCAAGAGTGTGGAAAACAAGCCTTGTGAGGAGGAGAAGGAACTGACAATGGAAAAGAGAAGGCAGGGCAGTAGGAGCATGGTAAAGGTAAAGGTAAAGGTAAAGGTAAAGGGGCCCCTGACCATTAGGTCCAGTCGTGACCGACTCTGGGGTTGCGGCGCTCATCTCACTTTATTGGCCGAGGGAGCTGGCGTACAGCTTCCAGGTCATGTGGCCAGCATGACTAAGCTGCTTCTGGAGAACCAGAGCAGCGCACGGAAATGCTGTTTGCCTTCCCGCCGGAGCGGTACTTATTTATCTACTTGCACTTTGATGTGCTTTCGAACTGCTAGGTTGGCAGGAGCAGGGACTGAGCAACGGGAGCTCACCCCGTCGAACTGCTGACTTGCTGATCAGCAAGTCCTAGGCTCTGTGGTTTAACCCACAGCGCCACCCGCATCCCTAGGAGCATGGTAGCATGGTTCAAATGCCTAACAGCCTTCTGCATAGGCGAGGACTGAATCTCGTTCACTGCTGCTACAAAGCAGTAGATTGAATAAGTTCCAGCTACATGAAGGTAGAGATTGACTGGATATTCCCTTGGCAGCAAGAGCTGTTGGACAATGGAACCTTTGACCTAAAGAGGGGGTTGTCTCTCCTTCACTGAAGGTCTTCAAGGCAGGTCAGGCATTTCTTTAGCAGGGGGTTAGACTTTATAGGATGCAGGGTTCTCTCCAGCTGTATGATCTTAGCCTTCTGTAAGATATGATAGTTTCCTACCTGCAGATATTTCCTGTCCATATCAAGAGGCACACAGTTGCATGAGCCCTCATCTGCAGTCTGCAGCAGTCTAGACAGGTTCACCACCATATATGCTCTAAGTGCAAATAAGGCGGTACCCCTGCATGAGCTTACTGATAATTCTCTTAGTGGTATTTCTAATGTGCAAACCTTGCCCGACCTCGATGCTTCTCTCCCTCTGACAGGCATCTAATAGGCACCAAATGCAGACAGGGTTTTCAGGCCTGTGCTACTCCCTTTTAGAGCAGGAGAGAATTTATTCTTCAAAGAGGCCCATTCTGTTACCTTTAGCATTCCGCGATCCTCGGTGCTCTTTTATTTTATTTTTTTCCAGAGTAATGGTGCCAAGCCCACTGAGGAAGGCTTGAAAATTGCACCCAGCAATGCCAGCTATCGATCAGTCATTGTGCAGTCGATAACTCTGGCAGGGAACAGAGTAAACAAGCCCTCTTGCTAACTGCTGGAGATTAGAATCTGCCTCAGGCTTCCTCCAGCCAGTTGCTAAAACACTGCTGAAAACCCCACTGACTGAATCTGAATGGACACGTGGACAAGATCTTCTTGAGCCTGCTGCTCTGGGATGCTAATAATGTCATTGTCCTTGCAGGTTGTCCACCCGGCGTTTGCCACTTTTGTTTCTGATCATCAACAAGACATATGCTTATCAAAACTCAGAGCCAATTCACTTGTTTTGGGGACAGTCCAGAGTTTCTGGGGTTTTCTTCCTTAGGTTGCTGGAGTTTTTAAATGCACAAAATATGAAATTCCAACTGAACTCAATTGTGCTTACACCAACAGAATTAGTCTGTCCTTGTGCTGTCTGCCACAAGGAACACATGGGCCAAATGAATTCAAACAGGTTGAAGGGGAGCAGGCTGTGTGCACCTCCATTTCACTAAATGTTCCTAGGCTTTGAAAGGGGTGCCAAGACACACACCCATATGCACATCGGGTGTGTGATAGAGGATAATATGCCTCAGACACCACACAGACATTAGCCTGGCAAGCCAGTAATGAACAAACTCGGTCTCATACCCCAAGAACATTGTACATGGTTCATGCATGAGCTTCGGTGTGCAAGTTTACTGCCTTGCTCAATCTGCATGCCATTTGGTTTGCACTTAGAATGAGGCAAAATAAGGTACTTTGTTAGGAACCCCCAGCACTGGCCAGCTGACACTTTTTCTCTAACTTGAGAATGGTAAAATATGCAGACCTGTTGGGCAATAGGATGACACATTTTCTCGCATTTAGCTAATTTTCTCTTACTGTGGAATATGAATGGGACTTTATCCTGCATACCAGAGGTACAAAGAGCCCCAGTTTAGTCCCTGTGAACCAGACAGCAGGACACCTCCCCATTGCCCATTTCCCTGCTGCCTTTGGATGACAGCAGCAGCGACAATAAAGTGCAGGTGATGTTAGCTTTGTTGCCTGAAATTCACTCCTCAGTAATGCAATGACCCAATTTTACTTATATTGATTGTTTCTTTATAGAAGGATTTTAAAAAAACACACAAAACACCCAAACAGCAACAGCCTCAACTCCTGAAAGCACAGAAAATGTATTTTCCAAGGGAATGGAGGGGGGACTTTGAGAAGAAAAAAGAGAGAGGAGATTTTGGCCTGATCCAGGCCAAAGAAAACTGTGTAATATCAACCTACCGTATTTTTCGCTCTATGAGATGCACCTTTTCCCTTCTAAAAAGTAAGGAAAAATGTGTGCGTGTCTTATGGAGTGAATGCAGGCTGCGCGGCTAAGCCAGAAGCCAGAACAGGGAGAAGGAGTGCTCCGTCTCGCTGTAATAGCTTTGGGGTTAGTGGCGCAAAGCCTCCTCAGGGCAGCGGGGTGCCTTCATCCCACTGCCCTGCAGAGGCTTCACAGGCTGCCCCAGAAGCCAGAACAGCGAGACGGAGCGCTGCGCAGCGCTCCGTCTTGCTGTAATAGCTTCGGGGTTTGCAGCGCAAAGCCTCCACAGGGCAGCGGGGTGCCTTCATCCCGCTGCCCTCCGGAGGCTTCGCGGGCTGTCCCAGAAGCCTCCGCAGGGCATGGGGATGAAGGCTCCCCGTGCCCTGTGGAGGCGTCGCGCAAAGCTATCCCAGCTATCCCAGCGGCTATCCCAGAAGCCTCTTGCTGTTCTGGCTTCTCGGATTCAGAATTTCCCCCCCTTATTTCCTCCCCCCCCCCAAACTAGGTGCATCCTATCATCTGGTGCATCCTATAGAGTGAAAAAATGACCTTATGCAGGTAAGGACCAAGCTAGGCATGATGCTAGTCCTGATGTGCATGGTTTTTGAAAACATAAAGAGGCAACATTGAGTGGGGATGGTGATTGGGAAGGCCTTACTCCGTTCAGGGGAATGGGTTTAAGAATCCTCCTCCCCCCATGCCATAGCTATGATCCAGATCAGGGTCCCCTGCACTAGCATGTACACAAGGGCTAGTTAAAGTTGGCATCCGTCTGTCTTTGAGGAGTGTGCCTATCAGGGTTGAAGTCAAGCCATTGGAGAATTACTGCACCTGCTGTGGCTGTAGAGACCGATATGGGACAGGCATGTTTTGTTGCAGCTGAGGCAGATGAAGGCGTCCAGTTGTTCTGCTACAGATGCACCATGGCATTTCTTCTCTTTACGCTTCTCCCAGGGGTCATTCCTTTTCCTGTGGTCACTGCTATGGATACACAACCTGTCTGTCTGTCTCCAGGGCTAACCATTGGAATCATTTCATATCCAGGGTGCAGGGTTCGAGCAACTCTGGCTGAGCAATAGCGGGGTATGATGGAATGGCATAGCTGCTATCATATCCACTGCTCTGCCCTTCAAGCCAAGATCTGGTGCAGCAGTCAGACTTGGATTGGATGGAATATTGTCAAGGGGGCTGGGCGCAGACCCTCCCTGTCTTGGTACCACCACCACCCATTTGAGGGCAATGGACTACCAGCAGTGGGAATTCCCATGGAAGTGCTTCCACCCTCCTGCACTTTCTGTTGATGGAATGAGGAGCCTTGCCCCTGACGAGTGACCCCCAGCATCACTCCATGGGAGAAAGGCAGTTTGGGGCTGGGTAGAGGAAGTAGAGGGAGACCTCCACTTCCTTCAATAAAGGGTTTGGGCTGCAGCCTACCCTCTGAACATAAGCCTGGTGGATCTGGGCTTAGAGCCTGAAGAAAATGCACTTTTAATCTAAAAGCGTACAATTATTGCCTGTGCTTACAAGTCCCCTGCTGCCGAGCCCTACAGATGATATACTGTACAAGCACTATTGATTAATCTAACACAATCCAAACTAAAACTGTGCCACAAGCACAAAACAAGAACGAAAACTGCATGCAGAGCAGATTGCAGAGGCAGCTGTGCCCAGGTGCAGAGTACATGTCCCATCAAATATATAATGTGCTTGCCTAGCCAACTTAATAAGCATTTGATGAATTTTCAAAAACATTGACCCATTTTACAGATGGGGAACATCAGGACTTTATTTCAGCTAGAACTCACAGGAACTCAGTTCCGGTGCCTCTCAGGTGGATGCCATTGCCATTCTAAGAGAACAAGGGAGGCGTTCATAGTGAGTTCTGGCACCTCTTTTTCTAGAAAAATTGCACTGGGGGACATTAATACTAGTTTTGGCTTAACCTACCTAACAAGTGTTGTGAGGATTTAATAGAACCAACCTGCCCTGCCCCTAAGCTTTGAGGAGGCATGTGATACATAAATATCCAAATCTATCTCCTCAGCTGCCCCACAGTCACCATTTCTGCCCAAATCCCAATGGCAAGGGATGGAATAGGCTCCCTGCTGCATATGAAAGCAGGAGGCAAAGGTCCTACAGCACACAGCATTTAAAAACAATAACCAGGGGACAAAAAATCTTGGCTTGGACATTGCTATTGGTTTTAAACACCCTGTATCCCTAATTCTATCATTTGTGTTTAGATAGGAAGGCTCCAGCACAGCTACCAGTTATCTGACATTGTGGCTCTCCAAGGTGCAGGAGCAAACAGAGTTTGTCTTGTGGTTAGGGTGACATTTCTCCACAAAGGGAGAGTGGAGAGAAGTTAATTAAACCCCGAAGAAGCCATTTATTAGAAAAGGAGAGGAAAGAGATGGCTTTTCTTCAATACGAGAGGAAGGCTCATTACGAAGGGAAACCTTTTCTTTAGCCGTTAATAAACTCTTTTCTTCCCTCCTGGCTTTGAGGAATTGTTAATGGAGAATCCATGTTCCCTTTATTTTAATGCAACCTTTTCTGAAGGATCAAAGGGTGTCACTGAATAAAAAATGTTTAGGCCATTTTTGTAAGTGATACTTAAAGGGCTGTGTGTATGTGTGTATTCCTGCATCTGCAATTTGAGCATGGCCACCAAAAATTCACCTGCAAAATTAAAGAAAGCGTTTGCAGTTCTTGAATCAGGAAAGAAAGAAAAGAGCTGACATGCTAAGAAGGTAAGTTTAAAACAACGACTGCCAACTTTGGGGGCCTGTGGGTACATTTGTAAACTGGGAAAACTTGTGGATACTACTTACATATTGCAAGCACACTACACAGCATATTCTATCCCTTTTCCCAGCCTAATTTCAGCAGGGGGTGGGAACATGTGGGCATCAGGGAAGGCCTCTAGAAGGGAAAGGTGGCATTTCAGGTGAATGAAGGTCTTTTGTTAAAGCTGAACCTTTGCAACAAGAAGTAAGCATGATCAAGTTCAATGAAACTTACTCCAAGGTAACTATGAATGTTGCAGTCACATACCCCAGTCAATGACTTACAAGATTCCCAAACAAACTAGGCATTATGCCATGAACTGCTAATTGCCATGTGTAGGAATTACACAGACAGACAGACAGACAGACAGAGGTCTGCGTTTTCTTACTCTTGGGGCATGGGTATGAGGGCTGTCATGATGACTACAGTGGTAGCTTGGCTGTCAAACAAATTGGGTCCCAAACAAATTAGCTCCCGAACGTCGCAAACCCGGAAGTAAGTGTTCCGGTTTGCAAACATTTTTTGGAAGCCGGACGTCCATTTCGGCTGCCAGCATTGTTTCTGGGGCCAATCAGAAGCCATGCTTTGGTTTGTGAATGTTTTGGAAGTCAAATGGACTTCCAGAATGGATTGAGTTCAGGGACCAAGGTACCACTGTACAAGAAATTCAAAATTTACCGTTGCATAACTGGGTATCTCCACCAGCAGCAAAGCTGGTTAGAGAGAGCATGTGATGCCAGTTCTCCAGGACAGTACATACCTTTTATGTCCCCAAGATGGTAGAACCATGTCCTACATGAAATCTGACAGATCCAGAAGCTTGGTCCACCTAAGTGAACATGAAAGCCTCTTCATGCAATTAGCTTTCAACTGCTGGATCATATCCCAGCTAGAACTGCAATAACTGTTTGCCACGGCTGTTCACAATCATTTCTCCCCCTCATATTTACTGTTCATTGTTGGATAACGCTATTTTATAAAACTATTGGTTTATTTATTATGTTGTTGCTCCCACCATATGAATATTTTATTTAAGAGGAGAGTTAACATTTCCCTAAACACAATCACCACTTGATGATCAGCTCCAATGAAATCATTAGGTTTGTGGTGATTTCGTTTGTACTATTTAATGGGGGGGTTAAACTGTGGACATCCAAATGCTGGACTCCAACTCTCCTCAAGCCCAGTCTTCATGGGCAATGGCTAGTGGTTGTTGGGAGATGTAGATCAGGAATATCTGTAGCGCCAAAGGTTAGCCACTTCTGGTGTATTGCAGTGGTGACTTGTATGAGGGGACAGAGGCAATAGCATCTTCCCTGTGCCACTGTATTCATAGGATGGGGATAGGATAGGGCAAGGCAGTAGTGGTGAGGTGCACCTGCAAGGCCACCACAACCCCAGAGATCTTCCAACATCACCCCATTTTCATGAAGAGAACAGCACCAGCAGTTGGAGATGCCACTTCTTCCATCCCTCTCCCCTCATAGAATTATAGAATTTTAGAGTTCAATGAGACCCCAAGAGTTGTCTAGTCCAACCCCTGCAAAGCAGGAATCTCAACTAAAGCATCCATGACAGATCACCATCCAACCTGTGCTTAAAAACCTCCACCACCTTCTGAGGGAGACCATTCCACTGTCAAGCAGCTCTTACCTTCAGAAAGTTCTTCCTGATGTTTAATAGGAATCTCATTTCTTGTAATTTGAAGCCATTGGTTCAGGTCCTAGTCTCCAGAGCAGGAGAAAACAAGCTGGCTCCATCTTCTATGTGACAGCTCTTGAGATATTTGAAGATGGCTATCATATCTCCTATCAGTCTCCAGGCTAAACATACCCAACTCCCTCAACCGTTCCTCTTAAGGGCTGGTTTCCAGACCCTTTATCATCTTGGTTACCCTCCTCTGCACACATTCCAGCTTGTTAATGTCCTTCTGGTGCCCAGAATTGGACACAGTACTCCATGTGTGGTCTGGCCAAGGCAGGATAATGTGGTACAAGCCACTGGCGGTTTAACACGAGATGGTATTTCACATCCTTCTTTGGCAATCACTAGTAGCTGAGTAAGATTGTCTTCCAAACATAGTTTTAACAGGGAGTCTGTAAGTGACTGTGGAGGCCAATTCTGGATCCCCACGTCTTTCCGAAGTGGGGACATAGGTTTCCGGGTAGGAGTTGAACACAATGAGGGTTTGCCAAGCATGCCTTCCTCTTAGCACCTTTCACCCTTTCATCCTGAGTTCAGTTTCTTCAAAGCCCACAACACCTTTGGTAAAGGCTGTTCTCCAATTGGAGCGCTCGCAGGCCAGTGTTTCCCAGTTGTCAGTTTTTATACTACATTTTTTTACTACATCCAACCAGTCATCACTTGGGCCACATCTGTCCCTTACATTTAATGCACTCTTATACCAGTCATGGCTTCTCCCACCAAGAATCTGGGAACTGTAGTTTGTTAGGGACGCTGACGGTTGTTAGATGACCCCTATTACCCACACAGAGATACAATTTGTAGAGTGGCTTAACAGTCAATCCCTCCTCTTCTGGGAATTGTAGCTTTGTGAGGAGAACAGGGGTCTCTTGGCACCCATAATGACATACCGCTCCCAAGATTCTCTGGGGGAAAG